TAGGGACATGGAAAGCCTTCAAGCTTTAAAAAATATAACCTGAGGCATGTTGAGGGCTCCACGGACAGAAAAAGGACAAACAAAATATTTGAGTTGCACTTGGGTTAGGTAGATTTGGATTTGGAGGCAGAATAGGAATTTTCAATTCCTTGTATAGAATTTCCATGTTTGGATCGATCCTTAGTGTAATTGAACTCGGTGAAAAGGTTAGAACTCAAAATGAAAGGGGTGACAATTATTTAATTTCTACAGCATTGAGGTGGAATAATTCAAATTCAGTTCATTTCCAAAATCAAACACATCCTTAGCAAAGGCAACAGAAGAAAAGTCTATAGCCAGATGCCATGCCACCCTATTCACTCCTCAAACAGTTCTTTGAGTAACAGATATACTTGTTTTAGTCCCTAGGAGAAAAAGAAAAAAATTAAACATCTTTACTCTTAGCATCTATATAGCGTGTATCTTGTTGGTAATACTCCATAACCCCTATTGCCATTAGTTGCTTAGCTGATAAGTATTGCTAGAATTCCCTTGAGCCATGATATTGTGGGATCTTCTTTGAATTAGAATGACCAATAAGTCAAGGGGAGAGTTAGATAATGTCCTTTAAAGGCCACTCACTATCTTTTTCTCTAGAGAAGCCCATATTCCCCAAAGAGCAACTCTCAAGTTTTGCTTAATGAAACCAGGAAGTTGATTAATAGTCTAATCGTTTACTCTATAGGCTCAATTTGGAAGGGGTACAAGTGCAAATATGTAGAGTGCAAAGCTATGTGTTTTGTATATATTTGTACTATATATATTTGTATTTGTATTTTGTATTTGCACTGTACATATTTTTATCGTCTCTGTTTGTTATCTTCTTTTCAGAGTTGGTAAGATAATTGTTCTGTAGGTGAGGCTGAGTCTGGGTTAGAACGACTTCATCAATGTGCTGAGAAGGAACTACAAGTTTATCTAAATGCAGAGGGCCCATCAGAGGACTTCAATGAGTTCCGGACAAAGCTTGCTGGGTTGACTAGGTAACTACTAGAAACACATATATATTGTTGGAACTGAACATTGTGGGGATATTTTTTTTTATGAATAAATATTAATAAAATTGGAGTGCAACACGAGGACTTCCCAGGGTGTGGGACATTGTGAGAAAAGCACCTTTTTAATATAAGCCCCTAGGAAGAAAGCCTTAATGGAATAAGAAAGGGGGAACCACCTTCATCAATCCTATCTTGCTTGTTATTCTCCAATTTTAGCAGTGATTTACAATAGAAATTTGAACTTTTAAAATTTAATAACCTGTTTGCTTTTGATGATAGTGTGACTTGAAACTACTTTGAGAATTTGGTACGAGCATTGGAGAACAGTTTGTCAGATGTAGACTCCCATGGTGCTTGTAGTAGAACGATGAGCTCTAAGAATTTAAGAGGAAACAAATTCAGAGGTGGAAGAGACAAAGAAACAACCTTCCAAGCTCCCAGTCAACTGGATGATTCAGGTCACTGGTCTTGTGACCATTGTACATATGCCAATGTTAAGTTTGCAAACACTTGCCAAATGTAGAGCAAAGTTAGAGCTCATCAGGATGTGGAATCAACCTTTCATGAGCTATTTATCATTTTTAACGAACTAGCTGTTGTGGTTATGTAGTCCAAATATGTGGATGGAGACATAGGATCAAATTTTGTGTTAATTGTATTATGCATTAGATCAAAGTTTTTGTTAGTTGTATTATTTATATGATATGAATTTGAAAATTGTAATATATTTTTAACATAGTTGCATTGAATTGTAGTTGGAATGCAATTTTTAACTTTTATAATATCAATGGACTCACATATTGACATTTTACATGTGTATTTTATTTAGATGATTGACAATAATTATTATAATATTTGCAACAATTTATTAAATTAAATATTAACAATTAAAATGATAATTGGCAAAAATTAAGGTAACAATTGCTTGATTGTTGCTACTTCAACAATAGTTTGGAAAAACCGATGCCATAAATAAGCATAATAAACAATTGTCCAGTTCATGATTGTTGTATATGAAACTTTGGGGCAACAATTGCTTGATTGTTGCTTATTCAACAAAAGGGTTGTTGCCTAAGATGCTAATTAGAGACAAATTTTTAATTGTTACAAATTTATAATTACCATAAGCTAGTATGATTGTCACCGAAGGTACTATTGAGCAACAATTTAGTAGCTATTGCTAAAAATTTATATGGGCAACGAGTTTTAGTAGTTGTTGCTAAAACAGAACATTTGGCAACAATTCCAATTGGTTGTGGCAAAACACTATTGTCAACAGCTGGGCCAATTGTTGTGAATAGTATATTTTGCTACAGTTGATTGTTGCTAAAAACTTTTAACAATGGCTTGGCTAGCCACAACTTGTTCAGTTGTAACTAAAACATTAGGCAACAGTTTTTCCTATATTAGGAACAATTTTTGACTGTTGCCAAAGGTTAATTTTCTTGTAGTGTCTTCATTTGTTAGGTAGTATTGCAATTATGATCAAAGACATATTCTTTCGAATTTCAAAGGGAGGAGTTCCTTTAGGTCCGATAAAAAGAGATCTTCACCATTACGGATTTCTTGTTTTGATTGTTTGAATGGTCACCGACTTTTGATTTGGGTAGAGAACTCTCAATAATTCTACTATGGGCGACCTTTCCAAAATTACTTCAAAATCTTTATAATGACCATTATATTAGATTTATTACTCAAGTTGTGACACTATTCTAAAGGTGGATCCAACTATGTTAAATCTTGCTAGAACAATCTATGTTGAAATAGACTTTTTGAGAGACCTTTCAAAGCGTTTGTGGGTTGTGCTTGGTAGGGAAAGATTTTGGTAATCGATTGAATATGAAAATCTTCCATCTTATTGTGGTTCATAGAACAATCAGGGCCATTCAAAAATAGAGTGTATAAAGAAGAATTAAGTGAACAAAAAGGAGACCTCAAAGGAGAATGGTGATAAGCAATACTCTTTGGCTCCTAATATGTTGTTGGTTTTTTGTCCAACTAGTGTTATCTATGAGAACATTCAAAAAGAAAGTATAAGTGTGGTAAATGAGTTATTTTTCACTACTCTTATTGAGGTGTTGATACAATTGGTTATGATCGACACTTAAACCAAGTGTAGGAACAAGCTCAAAATAGTAGCATTATAGTTGGAAGGTCAATTGGTTATGATTGAGGCAACAACCACAAAGAAGGAAAACCCATATAAGGTGAATACAAGAAACTTCTTAGGAGGAAGAGGTGTTAGCAATCCGAAACAACAACTCTAGAAACCTTATAGTTTTGTTCTTTTTATGTCTACAACTTTTTGATCATAGACAAAGAAGGAGAACCAAATGGAACATCATGAGGATGAAAGGATTACTGATACATATCTCTAGGCTGCGTTTGGAAACAATGCAAATAGAGTGTAAATCACAGTTCAGGGTAAATTTGCACTCTGGTTCACTTTTGCTTGTGTTTGGAAACATTATATTTATGCATTGACAAATGAAAGACCAATGCATATTTATATTGATAATAAGATGTAAAAGTACATCAATAAAAAAGAAGTAAATTTGCATTCAATCGGGCTTTTGATAAAAAAAACTTATATTTTATTGGAATTCATGTTTGCATCCATTACAACTAAAAGTCTGTTTGGTAAGAAGGTAAATTTGTCAATGCAAAACTAACCCAATTTTGCAATTTATATGAACCATTTTACACTCTACATATTTGCATTGTTTCCAAATGCAGTCCTAGGAGAAAAAGATAATTGCAATGACAATTAAAAATTAATGTAATACAGAAGGACTCCTTTGCTAAGAACTAAGGGTTGGAGCTTAATTTTGGGGCAATAGTGGTAGCCAATAAGGAAAATGACATGGGTGTGGAGAGTGCAATCAATGTTTAGAGAACCAGACAGGGCATAGAACTAAAAAAGGCAGAGGTTTAGGGGTTCAACTGTGGTCAAACCAGAGATCGAACCATGATGATGTGGCATGTACACACATTACAAGTCATATAATACTATACTTAATATATTTTACAAATATTATTGCATTTGCATGTGATGGATAAGTGGTTAACTTTTAAAATAAATGACCAAGGTTCAAGTCTCTTAACTCACATTTTCTTTGAAATACGGATGCATTAAAGGAACATATGAATTAAAGAGGCATAACTAAATGCAATAAAGAGTTGGATTAATGATAACATGGCATTACACATAAATATGAGGTCTTGGGTTCAAGTCTTGTTATCGCAATTTGAAGTTTCTATTCATGTTGTTACCTGGGTTTGGTTTCATAAAATTGTGACAAATTCATTAGTTTTTGGTTAAATTGGCTAGTTAATCGGCTTTTCATGAATTATGGTTTTCAAGGGGTATTTAGGTCTGATCTAGTTTTCTAAACAATGATGCCTACCGCTTTTTTTTTACATGATGAATGGTTCAACAATTAGCCAAGATACATCAATAATGGTGCCAAATGATATATTCAACAATAATGAATTGGAATATATGAACTTGAAATAGAAAAATTAAGGTCCCGTTTGACATATCTTTTCACGCAGGCTGTTGGTTTTTTAGAAGTTCGGCAGCCCGCATTTTGATCTTTTCCCGTTTGATTAAAAAAAGATCTAACTACCAAAAAGCTGCAGCCTTGAAAGGACGGGAGAAGCCTCGAAATGATTCCTAACCATCTTTCTCTAAATCATTTTTTAAGAAGAAGGTTGAATCAGTTTATTCAAAATTTGTGATACCCAAATATGTGTATCAATTGTCCAAATTTGTTTATGTAAGTTAAGGCTGTGTTTGGTTTGAAAGAAAAAGTAGAGAAACCTTCAAACCAAACGTAGCCTTAAAATCAAAATACCCAAATAGGCTCAAGAATGCCTGTAATTTAAGCCCAGACCCGGCCTGGCCCATGACACCACTACTTAAAAACTTCCGCAACATCTACACTGTCGGATTGCCTTTTGCAGAGCTGAAAGCAATTTGAGCTCTCTGTCTTGTTCATCATTCCGTCTCGATGATAATATCAATACAATCCGGTCATTTTTGTGCGAAGGAACGAACTCCTTCTCCAGGTTCTTCTAATAATATCCAGTTACTTTTTTTTTCTTTTTTATTTCAATTTTCGTTTCTATTCAGTCATGGCTTCATACAGAGAGCTTTTAAGATCGAAAAATATCTTAAATTCTGCATTTTTGGCTTTTCTGTGGATATTTCTTACTTGGGTTTAGCTGAATTAATCAGGTAGACGAAGTAAATACTCGGGGCAATCGGTGGTAAAGTCTCTGCAACACATTTTCTCCTTTTTTTTTTTTTTTTAAGTTTAGTTCCATTTCTCACATAAAACATGCTCAACTGATGAAGTTTGAAGTTCTGAACTCATTCCGACATACCATTTTCATTCCATTCCATAACCAGAGTAGCATTATCTAGACATATTTTAAGAAAAAATCCAAATTGAGATGCCAAATGTAGGGTTGTGCCTGGGTGAATTGAGATCAACCCATTTAAACTGTATCTGAATTCAATCGATTTCTTACTGGCTTGATTTGTTGTTGGTTGAACATGTGAAATTGAAGTAATAAATGAACTGAACCAAATTATTTTGACATTGGATAATGATAAGAGAGCTTCTTTGTAAGGCTTTTGACACAATATGATATCCTATGTGATTGGCAGAGACCACTTCCTGTACGTATATTAACAGTAGGGAAAAGGAGATCACCAGGGGTTCAACTCTTGGTTGAAGAGTACAAAGAGAAGCTCAAGCATTATTGCAGTGTCGAGGATGTTCAAATACGATCCAATCCTAAAAATACTTCGTATGTCTTTGCCTTTCTATTAAGTCTAACTCGTTCTTATTGAGACATTTTTTTTTTTTCTAAATTTTAGCATTTACATTTGAATTATAGTTTCCCTTGATGGAAGACTAATTGTGGTGGTTATGTTTGATATCATGTATATATGAATTTTCTCCTTTTCATTTTATTTTATTATTATTTTTTTGCTAGGCAAATGTGGGTAGGGGGACTTGTCAGTTGTAATTATATGCACTGACTTCTGATCCCGCTGGTACCTTCTTTGTGTATGTGTATGTCATTTTATGGTCTTTGTTTCTCCAGTCTCTGAATGAATTTGCTGGCATGGACTTTCTTTCCCTTTGTCGAAAATGGGGAATTTGTAAAGGAAGAAGCTATTCTGATTTTTTGTTCCATCTTGTACAGTCTTTGTTTTAGTGACTATGATATAATTTATTGTGATGGCAGCAAGGGTCAAAATATTGTTAAGATATGCCCCATATTGGGTGTGTCGTATCCGTATTGGTGCACCACGATATGCATGCATACACTGATACACACATGGTTGGGAGATTTTAAAACTCTGGGATGATAGAGGGTATCCCTCTAATGCTTATAAAATAAAAAAAAAGAGTATCAGTCATATTGATATGCACCATATCCAACTTCTGGTATTGGGTGTATCAATATTTCAATCCTTGGGTGGCAGATTAATTCAACTCTTTTTTTTTTTTGTTTTTTCTTTAAAGGTTTTGCATTTGATTTTACGTCTGTGTACATGATTTCTGCTTTTGTTCTTTTAACCCCTGCCTCAAATAGGATATCTTTTGGCTGCAAGCCTCAAATAGATTTGCTGTCATGAACTTTTTCTCCCTTTTGGTGGAATGGGAAGAAGTTGTATTCTCTTTTAATTGTTTATGTGAGTCATCTTGTATACCAACACCTTACTGATGGGTTTATCCCATTTAACATGTATCACTTAATTTCTTGTTTTTCTGATAAATTTTCTTCTTGTATACTCATCCAATGCAGCAATGTGAAGGCCCAAATTGAAGGGGAAGATATGGTTGCCATGCAAAACATCAGGTCTGAAGATTGGGTATGACCTCAAAAACCCAACTTGACTAGATTGAGACATGAAAATTTGCTAGTAAAGTCTTACTTTCTTCTAACTCAGGTGATTCGATTTAAATAGTCCTAAAGACTCAAAACGATGGGTAGGTGGGTCTGCAGTCTTGGTAGATATTATTCCCTAATCAATCTCCCAGTCATTTAGGTTACACCTTGTCTTGGACTCCAAACTGGCACAGTTCCACAAAAATTTTATATCCATTAGCCACACAAGCTTCTTCTCTTGTCAACTGCATAAAGTGATTGTAGTTAATGATGTTTTACTCCACCATTTGTGGAGGCATTTTCTGCAGCACCTCTTCCATATGTCATTATGGGTCAGTCATAAGATAAGAACACTCTTGATAATAGTGAATTGGAGCTTAATATGTTTAAACCTAGTTGTCTTCATTAGAGAGAAGAAAAACAGAATAATATGGGAAATGGTTGTGATCAAGTCATCATTGTACCTTCAGTGCAGATTCTTTCCTTTTTTTTTTTAATTTTGTCTTTGTTTACTTTATTATGTTGTCTTAACATATTGATTATGAATCTTGTTACTGTTCAAAAAAAAAAAGAGACTTATTGACTATGAAAATTTTCTGTATATATTTTTTTAACTATCTGTATCTTGAACAGCCTCAATTATTCAAAATTATCCGTCATTCATGACTTATGCATGGTTGTGTTTCTTGAAGATTGAGAGGTTGAGCTTTCCTTTACATTTTCTTATTATGTTTATGTAGGTTATCTTGTTGGATGAGCATGGATCAGACATTGGATCCGAGCAAATGGCTGACTTGGTGGGAGATGCAGGGAATACAGTATGCACATCACTTTAGTTCCAACAAGATATTCACATGCTTGAGATGTAGATCAATTTAAAGCATCCATTTCATCTCAAGCCTCTGATCTGTTGATTACAGCTTGAATATATTGGATGTTATTCTGTTGTGCACAATTGTGCTAGCTAAATTGGTGGCAACATGAACTTAGAGAAAACAAAAGGAAAAATAACAAAACAAACAACACAAAAGTTTATGTGGTCAACATAATACATCCACAAGTTAATGTGATAATGAAAGAATATACCAAACAAAAATACCAAAATTTAAATGAATTGTCAAAGACAAAAGAAATACTTCCAAGATCCACACTTTCTACCCAAAGCAATGTATCTCCCCAAAGACGTGATCTTCCTGGACTCAACCCAAAGAACAACCCTTTTCTTCTCCCAGAGAAACACTTTTTTTTTGGATAAATAACAGAGATTTTATTACTAAAGAAGAGAGATACATAAATAGGACAAATCAACTAGAGGCATGAGGTGCAGTCTCAGGTCTCAATCATAAATTACAACTGAGCCCAAAACAATTGAACCAGGGAAATACTTTCTTCTCACATAGTTCTTTCTAATAAGTAATTATTCAAAAAATAGATATCAGTTTCTTTATCATCTTTGCACATGAAGAAAACATTAAGTTAATCTTTTTGCTGCCAGACATTTCTTCAAAATATCCACCTAAAAGGATATGAGAGGGAACAAAGATTGGATGCAAAGCAACTGGTATTCAAAGTTGCATGTCAAGCACCATGCAATGGTACTTCTCTTGTTCTTCTTTCTTTAAGATCCTTTCAAACCAATTTTTGGCTTCACTATTCGTTTTGGTGAAGAAATTTGGAGTCATCTGGTGCCACCTAAAATAAGGGATTTCTATTGGGAGGTGTTTCACCAAAAAAATAAATACTTGAGTTTTTTCAGGAAAAAAGTCTTGTTGCTGCTTGTCCTCTCATGTTTGCATTCCTAGTTTAGCAAGTGGAGAGCCTTCTTATAACATGCTAATCTCCTATTTGTTTGCTATTTGGATTTGGGAGAGGATAATTTTTTGTTTGGTTGTAGGTTGACTCTTCCCCTGAGATGGGGAGCTTATTTAAGAGTACGTTCCTTTCACCACTAAGAAATGGAGGAAGAGTCTTATGGAGATACATTAGGCAGCTGCACTTTGGTCTATTTGGGAGGAGAGGAACAATAGGATATTCATGGACAAGTCAAGGCCTAAAGAAGAGATCTTGGAGAACATTTTGGCAAATGAAGGTCCTTGGGTTAAGACTTTGAAACTAATTGATTGATCCTTTCTCCATGGAGATTAGTATTAGAAGATGGCAATTGGTAGCTGATTCATCCATGCAAAATTCTTAAGTATCCTTATAAACTAAACTTTGATGGGCTAAGCTTTAACCCTAGTTCTGGCATTTGAGGAGTAACTGGAGATTGCATGGCCACATCAAAGCCATATTCTTGGGGCCAATAGGCTTTGAAAACTCTATGAGAGAAGAGTTTCTAGAAACCCTACAAGGAATTAAATTGGTAAGGCAGTTAATATTACAACATTGGTAGAGGGAGGAGATTCAGAAGAAATGGTTGGATGGATAAAAACTGTCAGAATGAGAACTTGGAACTACGGAAACAACCTAATAGAGATCAAAGTTATGACAAGGGAGCTAAGTATAACATACTCTTGGATTCACAGATCAACAAAATGCAACAAATGCCGAAGTAGGTTGGTGGAAGTGAAGGATCATGTAGTGAACACCAAAACACAACAAATGCCGATGATCAAGCAGTAGCTGTGTAGGTCCTGCCTTCTCCGAAAGATGAAAAAGTTTTAAAGGTTCTTTTCGGTGGTGAGATGACTACAGACTTGTCTACAAGAAAGGTGAGATGGAGAGGGGACATGGGGATCAAAGCCAAAAAATTTCGTTTTGAAGAATGCGTAGATGGTGAAAAATGGTTTGTGGAAATCGTAGAAAAAAATAAAGCAATCATTTTCGTCGTTGTGGATGCAATTGGTTGGTTAAAGGGATTCATGAATGGAGTGGTTCGTTCTATCAAAAAATAGGGATGAAAGAGTTCTGTGAGATTGAAGGAAAACAATAGGAAGTCGAGTTCAGGAGGAACATTAAAGGATGGTATGTTACTGTTATGGAACAGTCAGGTGTCAACAGAAGGAAGATGATCTGTGTGCTGGAAGGTAGAGGGAAACTTGGGTGGCATCTTTTTGCAAACAGGCTTCAGGAGATTATGTTGAGTATAGAGAAAACTCAAATACAAGAGAGGTGCGGTGGTATAGGACTAAGAAATACTTAGAGGGGTAAAGACATCTTGTTCGGAAGATCAACTGAAGAAGATACTCAACCGATTATGGTGACAAGTTCCTCTAGAAACCAGAATATGTTGATTGAAGTGGAGAAAGGGGCCTGGGCAAGGAGTTTTGTTCTAACAGCAGACAAAGTTATTAAAGATCAGGGAAGGATCATGAAATCGATTATGGAGAAATTTAAGCTTTTCGAGTTTGTTAGTCTTAGGCCTTTTAATGGCAGAAAGGCAGTCCTGTTTCTTGAAGGAGAAAAGTGTGATTTACCTGCAATGGAAATGGTGGTTACGACAGATGGTGTGGTGATGGTGGAAGCTTGACGCATGTCTTGCAACCAGAAGGATTTCAATGGTGGCAGTCTTGTTTTACAGTTGGTGGGGCTTTCTTTCAATCTTTGGAAAGAAACCGTTCCAGAGAGATTTGGTTCAAACTCTGAAGATTTCCCACAAGTCATGAACTTGCTTGCAAATGGTCTTTGGTTCAAAGTCTGGTTTTTGCTAGAAGTTGAACCGTTAAATGGGAAGAACTGCTCCAAGGTAGAAAACAATGGAATGTCCGAAGCATGGTAGAAGACAATGGAATGGGCGTCGATAGAGGGTTTCATTGGAAAAGGAAAACCTGTTAATTCCTATTGAAAATAGAGAGAAAGAGGCAGGTTTAATGTCTTTTGTGGAGATTGTAAAAAAGGGTGCCCCTTCACATTTAAAATGAGATCCATAGGAAGAAAAGAAGCAGCATGTAATTAATGAGGCTGATTTAGGTGGAGGGAGGAACAAACAGGGGTATGAATTGGGTCAGGAGACTGGTCGAGTGGGGGAGGGTGGCCCATGTGATTTTTTAACTGATCATGTGGTTTGAACCCAACTGTTGGAAGAGTCTGAGTAGTGATGGACGATGGCCTTGGTCCATCTTCTTCTTCTTCGATGATCGATTGGGACGAAAAGATGGAGGGTTGCATAACTAAAGTTGCTCCAGGTGGTGGGAGATAGTTTTAAGGGGAGTGCGGTTACAGAGTTGGAGGGGGATCAGTCCTTTGATGATGGTGTAGGTCGACAATTGGTTGGGGTGTTAGATAGTGTATGCCCTTAGCTCCAATTAGCTTGATGTACATAAACATTTATCAGTAAATGAATGAAGTACTTTATTGTTTTATGTTCAAATCGGTGTGTTTCTGTGTTACTCCTTAAACTGGACACTTATGAGACTTGTGTTAGTTTAAAATGTTCTCAGCCATTGGATAGACTTGGGGAGTTTTTATCCTGACAAGGCTGACGGTGGTGTGCTACCAAATTAGTGGAGCAGCTTGTCTTAGCTACTAGGGTTAGATCCCAAGCACAACAAGTGGATGTTTGGAAGAAACACAGAATGCAAACCAATTTCTAGTTATGCCCTAGACCTTGGAGATAGATGGGCAACACTGGAAAGTTGCACTTAACCCCAGACTTGATTATGGTACTACACTAGGTTTTGGATTAAACAATTTTTGATATGCCAACCAATGAGATCCATTAGGGGTAAAATATCTAAGTATGTTGGGGTAGTTTTACTTAAGTGGGTGATCATGGTGATAGGATTGGCCCATTTGTTAGACAAGGTGAATATCAGGATTTACACTCTTTGATGGAAACCTAAACTACTAGTAGTGGATTTCAATTCTATTTGAAATATGGTTTGCAAAATGTATTTATATGTTATATTACTATTTTATGAAGATTGTTTGTGAAAGGTTTTAATCTTGGGATCCATCTGAGTAAAGAGTGTGACATTGCATTTTGCAGTCAGGGAAGATGTCCTTTCCTGTGAGTAGTGTTTTGATGATTATGGGCCTTGAGGTTGGGTGTAAGAGACCATTATAGGGTTGATTACTTGATGAGCTTCATCTTACATAAGTCCATTGTCCTTGGGTCTTCATAGAGTGGTTGAATCCTAGGATCATTTATGTGTAAATGTTGGGCCCAAACTGAGCCCAAGCTGATTGGGTCAGGGGTTCATTGCCCCTGAGCAATGAATTCGGCCTAACCTCTTCTAGAGGTGGGGCTGAATCCTTGTGGACTTGTGTGAGACCTTTGTGGGTCCCATGCCATACAATGTTTAGGCTTAAAGTGGCCATGCAACACCTTGGGATGTGAACCATTAAGGAAAATGGGCCTAAGGCATTGCTAATATGATTAGTTAAGAGATCACATGACATGTGATTTGGATCGAAAATGTGTATAGAGCACCCATTCTCTTAAGAAGATGATGCTTATCAATTAAAGATAAAGTCTTGATCCAAATCTAAATTAGATAAACTCCTAATAGGATTAGGAGAGTGCTTTATATAAGGGACTAAGAGGGGAAAGACGATTCACACAAACCCTAGTTTGAACTAGCTGTGTTAGGGGCTGATTCTCATTAGTTCTCTACTTTTTTTTTGAAGAAAAACATCAAAGGATACTAGGTTCACACAACAACATCAATCAAAGCAAGTAGCAAATCGGTTTTGCTGAAACAGTGTTGTTGAATTGGCTTCGTAGACACAATTGTGCCATCTTCAGTTGGAGGCTGATTTTGGGTCTGATATTGGGTGTGAACTACCACTCTGGGAGCTACACACTGTGGTCTCAGTATTAGGTATGATTACTTTTAATTTGGGTTTCAAATTTGGTTTGGTTCAGTGCAAGATCAATCCTAAAATTTCAAATTTCAAATGAAGGGATGAGAGACCCATCATATGGATGGCCGAACCCTACAGGAAGGTTGGGCAAAATTTCAAAAATTTCTTAAACACCCATGTGGGAATTGCATTCCCTATTTTAGAAAACTGCATTTTCAAGGATCAATCTTGAAACTAAATCGGACTAGATCTGAAACCAAAGGGAGGAGAGGGATATACCTGATACGGAGTAATAATAACTCCCAATGAAGGTGTTCACGCTCAAGGAGAAGACCAAAAACTACTTCCACTGAAGATGTCACAGTGTGAGGTGAAGCAGAATCAGCAGGATGACTCTTCAGTAAGAATGTAGTAGAGGGCTGGTGAGCATGACTTCAGATTGCCTCTTCTACCAAGAAGAAATATCAAGAATGATTCTTGATCACTCTCTCAGGTGGAGATCGAACTGGGTAGGGGCAGCAAGAACAGGAAGAAAAGAGCAGAAGACAGGAGCAGTCAAATTGTGAGTTCTTCTCTCTGTGATCTGCGAACTCTGAACTCTTGTTCTTCTGGTGTGTCTGGAGGTTTGCCTTGCTCTTCTATTTATAGCCTTAAAGAGAGGATCTCCTAATCCCATTAGAAGTTTCCTAATCCAAATCTTTTATTTGGATCTGGACTCTCTTTAAGAGACAAGGATAATCCCTTATCTTATCTACAAATAAAGATCAGCCTTCCTAATCAAATTAGGAGTTTCCTAATCCAAATCATTATTTGGATCTGGACTCTTTAAGTGGATAGGGATAATCCCTTATCCTATCTACTGATCCAAATCCTAGAACCGCCCCTATTTAATTAATCTTATTAAGCTAGTTCGAATTGGGCTTTAGGCCCATTAAGTCTATGTGCTCACTTATTCTCCTAATCTACTGCCCAGTTGGCTCTCCTTGTATGGCGTGGGACCCAAACATTGATCTACACATCAGCCACATGGGTTCAGCCCAGCCTCTGTTACAAGGCTTGGCCGAATTCACTATAGGAGACAGTGAACCCCTAAGTCCATCACCATGGGCTCTTAATGGGCCCAACATTTACACWWAAWGGTYMTWRGGTCAAGCCACCTTATAAAAACCCAAGGACTGTGGGCAGATGCAAGATTAGCCCATCAGGTATTACCCTCAATTGTTTTACACTTAACCTCTCAGCC